GATAGAGTTTTTTTTTTTTTTTTAAAGATTTTATTTATTTATTTGAGAGAGAGAGAGAGCACGAGAGGGGGGAGGGTCAGAGGGAGAAGCAGACTCCCTGCTGTGCAGGAAGCCCGATGTGGGACTCGATCCTGGGACTCCAGGATCATGACCCGAGCCGAAGGCAGTTGCTCAACCAACTGAGCCACCCAGGCATCCAGTGATAGAGTTGTTTTATATCTGCTGTTTTGTATCCATATGGTAGCCACTAGTCACATCGGGCTTTTGAGCAGTTGAAATGTTGCTAGAGAGATGGAGGAATTGAATTTTAAGTTTCAATTTATTTCAATTAATATTAATTTGGGTAAATTTAAATTAGATTGCTATTTATGGCTTGTCCCTACCATCTTAGACAACATTCCCTATTGAGACAGCCTACATATGTGAAGGCACTCACAGCATCATTCACTTCACTTAGCCATTCTGGCTTCCAGTTCGCTCTTTCTTTATCGCCCCTAGAATTTATCGTACTCTTTTAACTGGGCATTTAAAAGGACATTCAATTTTTTTTTTTTTAAAGGACAGTCAATTTTATCTTGTGTTTTTTTTGTGAGCTGGAGAGGTTTGATATTATTTAGTTCACAGTATTGCCAGAAGTGGAACATAGTCTCTGCTTTCATTTTCTCTTCCCTCCAATCCATCATCTTTACTGCAAAGCAACTTTTCCAAAATGCAGATCTGTTCTTGTTACATTTCTGCTTTCAAGAGTCCCCTCTTCTCTCAGAATGCAGCTCAAGTTCAGTGTGGCATACGAGGTCCTGTGTAACCTAACTCCTGCCTCTTCCCTCAGCCTTCCCTTTTATTGCATCTTCTTGTACTTCATATGCAAGCAATGTCAAATACTTGTAGTTCCTTAAACGTGTCCTGCTATTTCATACCATAGGTACTTTGTTCATCTTGCTCCTTCTACCTGGAATGCTCTCCCAACCCAACCCCCCTCCCTCCCATCTGCTAACCACCATCTGCCCACCTTTTACAGCAGCTCGCACATCCCCTCCTCTCTGAAGGCCTTACCGACTCCTGTTTTCACCTCTTCTGCACCCTGTATAGCATTCAGTCACTTCACTGTGTCTCCTTCCCAGGGTGGACGCCTAGGAGAAGACTTGCTTTGCTTTAGTCTCTGGAACCCCAGCACCTAGCCTGGGGACTGACACATGGAGGTGCTGATGCTGGAACTTCTTTATCCAAGAGGGTAGTGGCATCTCTGTGAGACATCTGTGGGGCAGCTCAAGGCACAGCTTTGCTCCAGGTACTAGAGGATGTCTGAGTTGGGGCAGGGGTAGTGTCTATCTTCAGAGAGCTCTAAAAGTCATTTTGAGGCTTCAAGTTCCTAATAAGCCCAAGCTTCACAGACTCATCCTACTTCAGTCCCAGTTCCCTGCCAGCTTCCCTTTCATTTTCTCAGGTCGGTATGGTGACTGTGTAGTTGAGAGCCAGAGGGCCCTACTTGTGTCTTTTCACTGGGCACCTGTGGGGCTCCACACGCCCCTCTGACAGTTCTCTTTGGACCTTTTCTTTATTCTTGCCGTGAAGGTGAGAGAGGGCAGTGATAGTGAGCAGAGAATGGATTGGGAAAGAATGGGGCCTTGGTTCAGTATGTGGAAGGGTTGGCCTTGCCTCAGTGAGCTTTCATATGCTGCTGAGCTGGCTGGGGGTATCATTCCCTTACTCCTAGTCCATCCACTGCTGCTCCAGGAAGGCAGTGAGCCCTTAACCTTTCCGTTCCTGGAGGACAAGAATATTAGGTCTCCAAATGAACCTTATCCAGTGCCCAGTGTTTAGCAGGTTCTTAGGGAAATATTTTTTGGATTGAAACCTGCTTAGTTTGTCCCTGTCCCCCAGGATGCCTATGAGCTGCTGCCATTGTGGAGAGTGGTAGGTGGTGAGAGCACTGGGCTGAGAGAAGTCTGGATCTAACCTTAACTAGCTGTGTGACTTGGAGTAAGTTGCTTAACCTCTCTGTGTCTCAGTTTCCAGGTATTGTGTGTAAGATATCTAGCTAGACCCTCAGTACTTATGAGGTGCTTGGTGACTGTGTCTCCCTTTTCTACATCCTTGTGGGATATTTGCTCTCACTTTATATATGAGAACGTCTCTTGTCTTCCTTCTTCTCCTTGTCATGTCTTTGTCAAGCCCTTTCCAGCCTGAAGCAAGGGCTCTGTGTGTGTGTGTGAGAAGATTAGGGAAAACCCAGTGCAAAGAGATCCCTCCAATACCCAGGCCACCAACTTATTCTTTTGTGTACTCTGATTTCTCATCCTTATTATATATGGTCTTTTATTCAGGGCCTCAGATCTGAAAAAATTGGGCTAAAAGATCCCATACAGAAAGTTCATCTCCCAGAAATACAAAAGATAACTTCAAAGGGCTGTTAAATTCAAGTTACAGGGGAGGATCCCTGTCCTGGAGGCACGTGTGGGAGGAGGGACTGGGCCTGCCAGGTGAGAGCAGGAGGGGAGTATGAGGGACTGGTGAGTGGGTCAGGGGAGCCGGCAGGTGTGGGGCGTGGGGACTGATCTGTCAGTGTTCTCACAGGAGCCCAGTTCTTTGCCTTCATCCGCTGCTTTTGCTCCTTCAACTGCTTCATTAATTTGAGCAGAAGTCTTGGGTCAGCTTTCAGGTTAGTCGTTGGCTGATGTTTTCCCTGTGGTAGAGCTGGGAGACTGGCTATAATCACTCCCATTAGCAGTTGGCAGCTCCCCAGTCTGCTTTTTAACCTGGACTGTCTCAGCCCTGATATCTGCCGGACGTGCTGTGACGCTCACACATGAGGGCGATCTGCACACGCTCTTTATTCCCCACCTTGCCCCATGTGGCTGGGCCTTGGCACCCGCTGCCAGAGCCAAATCTCTCACATTGTGAAGTCTGTGGAGACCAGCTCCAAGAACCACTGTCTAATGAGAGCTTTGCTCCCTGGCACTTACTGAAGTGCAAAGCTGTGGGGGACAGAACTCTGAATGTGGCCTCAGGAAGGAATTCAGCCCAGAAAACATCATTAGTGGCTTGGTGCCGTGAGGAAATGTTCCCTGGGAGGTAAAGACAAGAGCTAAGTGGAATTATGGTAACACCAGCTGCCTTTAGCTGAGTACATACTCTGTGCCAGGCACTAGGCTAAACCCTTGGAACTCATGACCTCTCTTAATAACAGCCTGTTAAGGTAGATATTGGTCCCTTTTTACAGTTGGATAATGTGAGGCCAGAGGGGAAATAACCAGTTCCAAATCACCCAAGCTAAGTGGCAGAGCTGAGACCACTGACCCCAGAGCATTCTCACCATCTATTATCTCTGTCTGGCATGATTGGACATTGAACTTTTTAAAGGTTATGGGTGCTAGAGGCAGGTGGAAATAGTGCAGGTTAGTGGTTCTAAATCCCATATCTACCATGGATTAGTTGTAGAGACGGACCTCCAAGAGACTGAAAAAGCAGTTTTGGCCCAAACTGACCCTTATTCACAAGGCAGATTTAGGGGCAAGGGCTGGGCAAGCAGCCACCATGGTGCTCCCTTGTCCTCCTCCCTGGCACTGCATGGTGTGAGCCCCAACAGCACAAGTTTTAACAGCAATGGAATCAAGGCAGGGAACTTGCAGCCTGAAGTATGCGGAGAAGGAGGAAGGGGCAGACAAGCTTCCTGCCTTGCTTTGATGTGGCTGGGATGTTTGCATTATACATGAGCCTCAAAAATTTTTTTTTGAGCCCCAAATGCTCTAGTCATTGTTTTCTCCCCTAAACCTCTAAGACCATAACTCTACCTGCTGCCTTCCTGAGTTGCTGATTGGTATCCAGCCCCAGTCATGGAATAAATCCCAGGGGGTGAGTCAGAATGAGCTCTGAGCCTGCAGGGCCTGTCCAGGGTGGCAGGTTGTAATATTCACCAGCACCCAATTTGAGCCTTTGTTTTTATCAAGGTACCCATAGCTCTAAAGGTCCCTTTATTTTCCTCTCTGCTAGATACATCTTTATTATTTCTAATTCCCACTTTAAGGAACTCTGAGAATACCAAAAGCCCCACTTGCTGGGGCCACATGAGTAATTCTTTTACCTGCGCTCTCCCCCCAAGCAGTTATATTCAAAGAACTGCTCCATTCACTGGAAAGTGGGACGTCCCTGAGGGTCTATCACTGAACCCAGTGCAGGGCACAGCAATATGTAGAAATTCATGTCTGGGCTGCTGTTCCTGGTCCTTTTAATCCGCATGGCCTGATTCCTCCGTTAGTTTTCAAGTGCCTGAAGGAGAGGCAGGCTGCCCCATGTAAAAGGGCGCTGGACTGGATGTAGAGGCCAAAGCTGCCCCTGCTGCCTGCAAAAGAAGTTGTGCTGACCAGGAGCAGAGGCCGGAACCTGTCGTCTGTGCCTGGTGCTCAGAGGCATGATCTACACGGAGACTAAGGCCATCGCGTTACCAACGCTTCAGCAGTTCGGCTGGTGGGATCGCTGAACCACTTCCGTAGGAACCCTCTTGCTCGGGTTAGGGTCCTCCCAGCGTCAACCCCGCCCACTCCCGCTTCCCCGTTTCTCCTCCTCCCCGCCCCCTCACAGAGCTCCCCACCCCAACTCTCGCGCCTCAGCAACCCCTCCCCCCTTTTGTTCCTGCGGATCCAGCGAGCCAGGCTTTCTCCTTCTCTGGTCTCTCCTCCTCCTCTCCCCCTTGAATCCAGTCCTGGTTTCCCCACCGCCAGCCTCCCTTTCCTCTCCGACTGGGCTAGCTCCCCGCCCCCGCCTCGCCCGTTGTCACCGCGGTGGGTTCAGCTCCTCGCCTACCCCACTTCCCAGGCACCCGGGGCTTGGCTCGCCCAGTCCGGTGGCTCCAGTCCGGATCTCGCTGCTGCCCGACCCGGGTACGAGTCCCAGCCGCTGGGGAGGAGGCGGCGGCTGGCCCCGGCTCCCCTCGGCCGCCTTGCCAGCCCGGGGTTGGCGGGGAGGGAGCAGCTGGGCAGCCCCCCGGAGCTCCTCGGAGGACAATGCACCCAGCGCTCGGCAACCCCCGCTCGGTCTCGTCCTCGTCCGGCTCCTTCCCACCGCCCCCCGCCGCTGCCCGGCTGCAGCCCCTCTTCCTCCGGGGGGGTTCCTCCCGCGGCCGGAGAGGCTCGGGCGACAGCAGCACCAGCACCAGCACCAGCCGGGGGGGAGGCGGCGGCAGACGCGGCGGGGGCGGCGGCGGCTCCCCCAGCAGTAGCACCGGCGCCGAGAGAGAGGACGACGACGAGAGCATCAGCATCAGCAAGCCGCTGGTGCCAGCCGCCGCCGCGGGCCTCCCGGGACCCCCGGCTCAGGGGGGCGCCCAAGCCGCCGACCCCGCGCCCGCCGCCTTCTCCTCCTCGGCCGCCACCTCCTCCTCCACCTCCACGCCCACCTCCTCCTGCAGCATGACAGCCGCGGACTTCGGCGGGGGCGCTGCGGCCGGGGCCGTCGGGGGGCCCGGGGGCCGCTCGGCCGGGGGCGCGGGCGGCACCGGGACCGGCAGCGGCACCTCCTGCTGTTCGTGTTGCTGCTGCTGCGGCCGTCCGGCCCGGTCGGGCCGCAGGGGTCGGCGCCGAGGCTGCGCCCCCAGCCCGGGGTGCCGCTGGGGCTACCAGGCGCTGTCCGTGGTGCTGCTGCTGGCACAGGGCGGTCTGCTGGACCTGTACCTCATCGCCGTCACCGACCTGTACTGGTGCTCCTGGATCGCCACCGACCTGGTGGTGGTGGTGGGCTGGGCCATTTTCTTCGCCAAGAACAGCCGGGGCCGTCGGGGCGGCGCGGGGAGCGGCGCGCACAACCACCACCAGCACCACCACCACGCCGCGCCGCCTCTACACCTGCCCGCCGCCTCGGCCGCCTCCGCCGGGGCTGCCGCGGGGGCCAAGGCGCGCGGCGGCCGCGGGGGCGCAGGTGGCCCGGGGGGCGGCCCGGGCGCTGCCGGGGCAGCGGGCGAGTTCGCCTTCGCCTATCTGGCCTGGCTCATCTACTCCATCGCCTTCACGCCCAAGGTGGTGCTTATCCTGGGCACGTCCATCCTGGACCTCATCGAGCTGCGCGCGCCCTTCGGCACCACGGGCTTCCGCCTCACCATGGCACTGTCCGTGCCCCTGCTCTACAGCCTGGTGCGGGCCATCAGCGAGGCGGGCGCCCCCCCTGGCTCGGCGGGACCCCTGCTCCTGCAGCCCCAGCAGCACCGAGCCGCCGGCTGCTTCCTGGGCACGTGTCTGGACCTGCTCGACAGCTTCACCTTGGTGGAGCTGATGCTGGAAGGCCGCGTGCCGCTACCCGCGCACCTGCGCTACCTGCTCATCGCCGTCTACTTCCTCACCCTCGCCTCGCCGGTGCTCTGGCTCTATGAGCTCAACGCCGCAGCAGCAGCTTCGTCCTGGGGCCAGGCTTCAGGGCCGGGCAGCTGTAGCCGCCTTCTGCGCCTGCTGGGCGGCTGCCTGGTGGACGTGCCCTTGCTGGCGCTGCGCTGCCTCCTGGTGGTGAGCTACCAGCAGCCGCTCTCCATCTTCATGCTCAAGAACCTCTTCTTCCTTGGCTGCCGCGGCCTGGAAGCCCTAGAGGGCTGTTGGGACCGGGGGAGTCGGGCCTCCCCCAGTCGGGGAAGAGGGGGCTACGGCCCTCCGCCCTCTGCCCCGCCACCGCCACCACCACCACCACCACCACCTCAGGGAGGCTCCCAGCTGGGCCATTGCATCTCGGAGAACGAGGGGGGTGCCCATGGCTATGTCAATACCCTGGCCGTGGCATCCCAGAATTGAGGAGGGATAAGGGAGAGGGGCTTGCTTTGGGGTTGAGAGACCCCAGCCCCTTGTCCTTTGACCGTCTATCACCCAGATTTAATCAGGCTCTATTTGGAAGACAGAACTGTTAATAGGGCTAAGGGCCAGTGTGTCCTGCACCCCTTGGGTCAAGACTGGAGGGAGACCAGCACCTAATGGTGAAGGAGGAAGGTCCACTTACTACTACTATAGTCTGCCTTCTCCATGCCCTACCCTAACCTAGCCTCCAGGGGCCGGATACCTCTGCTTCTTGCTTTTCCCACCACCATCCTAATTCCTGTCCATTTTGGGGGAGAATGGTGAAAAGGGGGTGCCCAGACAGGGGTGCTGGGCCTTAAGCCATCCCCCTCGCTTGGAAGTGCCAGCTTCTTATAGGCTGTGGTTAGTGGTCATTGTCCCACGCCTTGAAACTGATCCAGAATCCACTGTTCCCCTGACGTGTCTATTGGATTTTTTTTCCAGATGGTAGATGCAAAGTCTGTGTTTGTCTGTGTGTGTAGTATAGTTTTCTTGTGTCCACACTGTGGCCCCTTGCAATCAGTAGGAGATCTGGGGAGGCCCCGTCCTTCCCACCACACATACGACCACCCTCCTCATTCCTACCTGAATTTGTGGCCATGAATTAATTCCCAGAAAGAGCTGGGCTCCTGGGAGCTGCCCAGTTGCTCTCCTCCAAGGGAGACGCTCACCCAGGATCTTCCTCAGTTCTACTCCTCTCTTCTCAGCTTGGGGGAGGAGAGGGTCCATACTCTAAGGACCAAACCACACCCTTTCTTGGGTGAGTGAGCATTTCTACCTCCGTGCTTTCAACTTTTGTTGCATCATACACTGATGCTGCTTGCAAAAAATAAAGGCAAAATACTCAGAAATTGCATTCAACATGGCCACTGGATCCAGCTGGGGTTTGGTGCCAGTCTTATTACAGGGTCTGTGGAGTATCAGCCATTGGCTTGCCCTCCCGCTCTCCCTCCCTCTGCACCCAGAACTCTTATCCTTCCTGAGGTTTGTTGCTGACTGGGTCAGATCTTGGCTCAGCTTTGGTGGGGTTCCTGGATAGATGTGAAGTTGGGGCTCCCATTGGCTCAAGGAAATCCAATTCCCCATCTGTCCTTCCTCTAGGAAGCCTGGTGTGAATCCGAAAGGGTGGTGATGACCTTTGTCCTCTGCTCTGGTTAAGAGAATTTCTAAGGAGAAGGCAGGCTGCATGGAGAGGCTGGGCAGATTCTCCCCCTGCCCTGCCTTCCTCCCTGGCATTCTTTTGAGATTAATGAGCAGGGACACCCAGGGGTTGCCCGCCTATAGTCTGGATGTGGGACATCACTCTTGGAATCTTTGAGGGTGAGTAAGTATTTTTAGGGGAGGTAAGAGTGCAGGAGGACAGTTGGCAGCAAGGCCAGGAAATACTCACTTCCCTCCACCCCAGAATAGGATGGGGTGGGGGCAGAACTGTAAGAATTTTTGTTGCCCTTCCCCCCTTTGTATGCTTTGTGTGGTGTAATGAACCCCAGACAAAGGACCAGAAGTCATGGATTGTAGTTTTGACTGTCACTCACGAGCTTTGATGGCACTCACTTTTGCTTTCTGGGCTTCAGTTTTTTACTTGAGGCCCTTCTCTCCCAACTTCTTGGGGGTTTGTTGACAGAAGACTTCCATGTAGATAGAGACAGAGAGGGGCTGATGTCTTGACCAGAGTCCTTCTGAAACTCCCCTACTGTCACAGTGGGGAACAATGGAGGAAACATGTTTACACTCAATGTAACATCTGTGCTCCCAGCCCCTCACCCTCCTAGGTCCAATATTAGCGGGTTGGATTTTGCAACTAGTCTTTTTTTTCTGCCTCCGCACCCCACCCCCCGCCCCCATATCCTTTCCCTTTGAATTCGGTGTGCTCAAAGTCCTGGGCCCAGACCGCTCCCCAGGTCTCCATCTCTCTCCAGCTTTGCTCTGTTTCTCTGCTACCTAATCTCAGTGGCTGTGAATGGACTTTGTGTCTGAGCCATGGCCAGCCCCTGGCTGGCCCCTGCCCCACCCCCTTTCTCCTGTTTGGATGGTGGTCTCCCCCCGCTGAGTGACTGACTATAAAATCTGAGTGCTGTTGAGTTTTCTGGTGGGAGGCTGTGATAGGTTCCAATGAGCTACCACGTCCCTTGGTACGTCAAGAGACTGACGGCACCCGGGCCAGCCCTGGCAGAGGCTGGGCCTGCTCAGGCTCTGTCTGCGGGCCCCCCACTCACCCCTGGACGTTCTCTTTCAAACATCTGGTGCAAGCACTTTGTGCTCAGGGGTCAATCCCTTCCTTCTGGTGTTTTTTTCTTGAGTGTTTTACTCTTTCCTTGCCCCACTCAAAATGAGACATGACCCCTAAAGTTTCATTTTTCTTGCTTTCTAGGGGCATCTGTAGTGGGGAGTTCAAACTGGAGATGTTTCCCCGTGGGGGGGTCTCATAAACAGGAGGTGCACTGTCTCCTGAGGCTCGTGATTCACAGGAAAGTAGCCCGGGTTCAGAATTCAGACTGCTGGCCTCTAACGTGGGTACCAGTAAGGCATGCCTTGATCTGAGCCTCTGACTCTATGGATTGTGAAAGGGGGTTGGATCGGCCCCCCTCTAAAGGCTGTTCTGATATAACCTGGCCTGGTTCTGTGTCCATGTGTTTTTGGGGAAGAGAGCTGGCTGGAAGTTAGAGCCTGGAAGAAGGGAAGTGGCACCTCACTGAGCACGTTTCCCCCGCCCCTTTTTCTTTTTAAAAATAAAACCAGCCTCTGTTCTGAAAATAAAAAACTTGAGACTTGTGACAAGCTTCCTGTGTGGTTTGTTTTAAGATCTTTCCTGTCCTGGTTTCCTTACTAAATTCTTAAATGTCACTGTGACATTTGTCATCATTTTATAGGCTTGTGTTAACATTGTGGGTACACTTGGCCATTTCCTTCTAGGCGGTTGGCACTCTTCAGGGAGGCGGGGTGGCTTTGGCCTTGATCTGGGGGGTGTCTAGGCAGGCCTCCTATAGGTAGAGCTAACAGGTGGGCTCTCAGCCTGAGAGACATTTCCCCAGACACTTGGGGCTTTCACTCCCATTTCCTTCTAAGAATAACTTCCCAAAGGAAAGACTGAGAAACTTATATTCAAATACTTTGCCCTCCTTTCCGACTTATGTCCCTGTGGAGGAATGAATTATGTATGAATGAGGAGAACAACGCCTTTTTAAAACAACAACAACAACACCACCACCACCACACAAAGGGGACTGTGAAGTCTGACAGAACATTGAGTTTGTACAAAAATAATAGTTTTTGTTTCAGCACGGAAACAGCCAGTACTATTGAAACCACTCTGTGCTGTTGCCCTATGGCGCTTGTGGCCATTGCAAAGGCCACACAGCGGTTGGACCCAGACAGCAAAAGAGGCAAACTCAGAGCCTGGGAACGCTGGTCCTGGGCTTGCTCTGCCTCCTACCAGCTGCGGCCGTGGGCACTGACGTCCCCTCCTGGGGTGTCTTCCTCACTTGTCACCCAGGAGCACTATTACCTCACAAGGCTATGGTAATAATTAAATGAGGTGGCATATGCAAAAACGGTCCTTTTCCTTAAGACATTGATAATCACAACGGGGGACAATATTCACATGTAAAACAATGACAGGAAAACATAAGACCATGTCTTCCTTTCTTCCTAAATCAAGATGTAAAATAAGATGATGAGTTTGACTAAGCATGTTATATTGACATGTTTCTCACAGGTAAGCAAGCTAGCTCCCACCCCTGTGGTCGGCAGGACCATACAACAAAAGCACTCTGTGAAAGATGAAGAAATGGCATATGAGCAGACGGTGTATTCAGAGTGGGCCTGGCTGAGGCCACACGCGGCCTTGCCAAGGGCCTGATTCTGACCCTGCAGTTCTGGCCCTGGGGAGGAGCCCGGGGACACGTCCTGTGCTCGCCTGTGGCAGGCCCTTGATGCACAGCAGCTCATTTCATCCTCACAGTCATCTGCAAGGGGGTTTTAGCTCCATTTTCCTGAGGTCCAGAAAGATAGAGTAGCTTGCTGAATACCACACTAGAGTCAGGAAGGGAATCTAGATTTGAACCCAGGTCTGTCTCCAAAACCTGCACGACCCCAGGCAGCCTTCAGACCGAGCTGTTAATAGAGTTCCACTTCTCCTGATTAAAGCTGAATGGTCTGGCTAAAAAGCAGGGGCTGGTTTTCCTATTCTGTGTGAGTCCCAAGGAAGCGGCACTGAGCAAAAGTCAGGGGCCAGCCAATTGTGCGTCGTTCTTTTCTGCTCTCTCTCCTCTCAGGTCACTGTTGTATCTTCTTCCTCTCTGATCAGAAGGGAAGGATCCAGTAAACTAACAGCCTAGGGAACTACTCCTCCTAGGAAGGGAATCCAGGAACTGGGGTCTGGGGAGGGATGTTGGACAAGACCTCTTGTTATCCTTGAAATCACGAGAGAGGGGACTCCATGTTCCTCTAACGGACAAAGGCTGGTTCTCCAGGGCACTTCACCTGCCTCAACCAACCCAAATGGACAGGGTGCGAATGTGCACCCAGCGCCAAGATCTGGGAGAGGCGGCAGGGCATGGAGGGCTGGGGCGAGACCAAAAGCAAGAAGATGGACCGTGAAGCCATTTAGGAGTGATGTGGGAGGCTGTGAGTGGGCACCCCAACTTCACAGCCTGTACCCATGGGCTGGGGGCAGTTGCTTTATTTTATATTCTCCCATAATATAGACTATTGGATCGTATATTGCTTTTGTAATCTGAAAAAGCAAACACTAGAGTAAGAAAGCCCTAACAACAGGAAGAAGGCTAAATAGTGCCCCACATTCCTCAACTGCTCCGACCCAGACCCCGGTCAGAGTGCTCCTTCCTGAGAGGCAATGAGACCCAAGGGAGCCTCTGGACTCCTCCCAAGGGCAGCAGTGTGTATGGGTGGCAACACCTGGACGGAACGAGGGCCACCGTGTGCTGAGTGCTCCCGTGTGTGGGACACCACTCAAGCGCCTCACATGGATGTTCCATCCACTCCTCATGAGACCTGTATGAGGGAGGAGCCTCTGCTGTACCTCCAGCAACCCGAGACCTCAGGAAGATCCCCTGATCAATCACAGGGCTGGCAAGCAGCAGAGCCAGGGCCCCAGCCTTGGGTTAACTGTTGCCAGCCTCTTTTTAAAGAACCTGTCTCTGGGGGCGCCTGGGTGGCTCAGTCGTTGGGCGTCTGCCTTTGGCTCGGGTCATGGTCCCGGGGTCCTGGGATCGAGCCCCGCGTCGGGCTTCCTGCTCCGTGGGAGGCCTGTTTCTCCCTCTCCCACTCCCCCTGCTTGTGTTCCTGCTCTCGCTATTTCTCACTCTGTCAAATAAATAAATTAATTAATTAAAAAAAAAAATAGAACCTCTGGGCGCCTGGGTGGCTCAGTTGTCTGCCTTTGGCTCAGGTCATGATCCCGAGGTCCTGGGATTGAGTCCTGCATCAGGCTCCTTGTTTGGTGGGGAGCCTGTTTCTCCCTCTGCCTGCAGGTCCCCCTGCTTGTGCTTGCTTTCTCAAATGAATAAACAAAATCTTAAAATTAAAAAAATAAACTCTCTTCTCCAGCCACCTGACCGGAGACCCAAGGCCAGGGCTGGAATACCAGCTCAAGCATACTTGGGTCCTTACTTTCTTGCATAGCCTGGAGCAGCTGGTGTCTCGTGGCCCTGAACTAGCAGGTCTTTTCTGGAAGCGTTTGAGCAGAAGTTGGCCTGGCACTACCCTTATTTATTTGGGAAGGGAGGACATCAACTGCAGAGTCTAAAGGCCATCGGATTAAAACTTCCCATTGCATTGTAAGTACATCTTCCTCTCCTTTATGTCTGACTTAATCTTCAAAGACAAGCAGAGATGAAGTAAAATCCATCATACCCTCGCATTTGGAGATCCCAACTCAAAGTGCTGGATGTTCAAGTGACTGACCAACCCCCTTAGAGCCTGAACACCTCTGAGGTCCTTCCTAAGCAAAGAGAAACTGGGGTAGAAGCGAAGTTGGAAAGCATGTCTACACCACCATCTAATCATTCCCGCCCCCCTCCTCCCTTCCTGACTAGGCTCCAGACAGCGGGCAGGGACGCATGCAAATCCACTCAGGAGTCGGAGGCTGGATGCCGGGCACGGGTCATTGCTCCACCCTAGGTTTGGGTCGCATGTTGACTGCGGGTCCTTCCATCCCCTTGAGCCACTTCGGCTGTACTCTATTTAGGAGAGGGGCTTGAGTGGTAGGAAAACCACAGCTTGGAGTACATCTGTTCTTGGAATGGCGTTTCTGGGTGAAGCAGGATTTTATTAGCCATGTTTCAGAATAATACAAAAAGCAAGGCAAACCTTTATTTACACATGCTCTTGACGCTCTTGATATTGAGCTGACAGCAGACACCACAGGCTGACAGAACTTCCAGCATTTGTGGTGCGCAAAGGCCAGTCTGAGACTGGGGGCTCCTTGGTAGCAGAGGGAACGTGGGAGGAACCAGGGACTGACATTCAAGAAAGGGTCCAGAAGTCCTGGGGAACTTTATGATTCCATTTATATATGTTATGTCCACAACAGGCAAATCCATAGAGGGATGGGGGGTGGAGTTTAGCGAGGTTGGGGTAAGGATTAAAGGGTGCTGGATTTCTGGGCGCCTGAGTGGCTCAGTCAGTTAAGCATCTGCCTTCGGCTCAGGTCATGATCCCAAGGTCCTGGGATCGAGTCCCACATCAGGCTCCCTGCTCCGTGGGAAGCCTGCTTCTCCCTCTGCTCCTCACCCTGCTTGTGCGCTCTCGTTCTCTCAAATAAACGAATAAAATCTTCAAAAAAAAAAAAGGGTGCCGGATCTCTTTTTGGGGTAAGAACAATTTCTAAAATTGATTATGCTGATGGTTGCTGAGCTCTTGAATGACACGGTATGTGCACTGTATCTCAATAAAGTTGTCAGAACAGGCAGCAGCCCGAGAGAAGGGGAGCACAGCGAGCAATGCTGAGGACATGTGGCCTCAAAGGCCAGCAGAACTAGAATTCAAGGCTTGTGGGGAACACAATCCAAATGGAAAGTATGCTTCTGGGCGCCAGGGCTACACTGGCTGGGGCCATGCTGCTGGCGTGTCAAACCTGGCCCCAGCCAGGAAGAGTCCACCATGGTGTTCCACACCCTGGGCATTGAGTCAGTGCTTCCTGGAAGCTGGGGCGACGTCACAGAAAGCTTGGTGGGCATCTGGCTCCAGGGATGCCCACTGCCAGCCAACTGGAGGGGAGACGGAGCCTGAGAGGCTGGTGGCCGGGAGAACGCAGCTCCCTTTCTTGCCGTCTCCACCTGGGAGGGCTGAGGGCACAGAACACCAAAGACCGGGCGGCTTACACACACACTGCTCACAGCTCCGGCGGCCGGCCAAGTCCAAGACCGGGGAGCCGGCGGACTGGGTGTGTGCTGGGAGCTTGCAGCCCGGCTCACGAATGACCATCTCGCCACGCCCTCACGAGGCAGCGGGTGCACGGAGCTCTCTGGGGCTGCATCCTCACGACCTGATCACCTGTACCTCCACTGCCGCCACACTGAGGATGAGGTGTCAAGTATTTGGGGGGGTACAGACACCCCGTGTGCGGCTCTGCCTCCCTGGTCCTTCGCTGCCGTGGGACTGTGTATGGGCCACACACAGTCCGGGCCTTTGACCTGCTGCCCCCACGGCTGCTCGGGGAGACCGCACGACTGAAAGGACTCACAGCCAGGCACGCGGCCTGTAGCAACACGTGACTCAACAGAACTACCAGGCATTCTTACCAGAGTGGACAAATCTTTTATTGACCATCTCCCTTCTGTGCACATGACGCACGTGTGTCACACACACACACACACACACACACAAACCTGTGATGGTTTCCCATTACCTGCCTGAGTCCTCACCCCCTTCACTGGGAGCTTGGCGCCAGCTGAGGGCTCGAGTCCAGGCAATGAGCTCACCTGAGTCCAGGGGCAGACGGCATCTCAGCGCGCTCGCCAGGACCCCGGACGGCCAGAAGCCTTCAGTTCCTCCCAAGAAGGCACTTCAGGCACAATGTCTTCCAGCACTGAGCCTTAGCATCTCTCCTTGAATACTGTCTTTGAACCTCAGGCTTTTAAGTACAGAGTGGCCTGTTTTCCTCTCCACCCCAGAGGGGCCTGCCGGGCCCTGTGTGCCTCCCATTCCCACCCTGCGCCCCTCTGCCCACCCCGCCGGGCACCCTCCGTATCTCACACTCAGGCTTGGGCCCCCAGTTCTGGGGCCTCCTGAGCTCGGGGGGTGGGGTGCTGCCGCCCAGGGGCCTGGCCATGCGACCCCGGAAGACTCCTCTGCAGTGGCTCTCCCACGGACTGAGGGCCAAAATGGGAGCTCAGGATTCCAGGCTTTTCTCCCTGCTGAATGCTCTTAAGGTTCTCATCACACATTTCTATCCTGTCTCTTTCCAAAGATGGTCTGAGGTGGCTTTCGGGTACGTTTGGTCCTCAGGCCCCTCCTCTGCAGGGCAGCAGCTCACCCTATCAAAGGAATGCCAGGCCACCGGGCTGAGGTCCCGACCCCCCACCCTGGCCCACAAGCCCTTCTGCAGCCCAGGCTCCGGCTGCCCCCTCCTCCCGCTCCAGGCTCACTGGGCCCAGCCCTCACCCCACACGCTGCCCCTGCCCCGGGGACGCTGCCCTCTCCAACCACGGTCTCTGGGCCCAGCTGCTCCTTCTGTGTACTTTCACAGCCCTGGGCAGACCTCTACTAAGCCTTTCCATCGCACAGGACCATACTGTTTGCTAATCTGTTGCTCCCACCAGACGTTAAGCCCCTTGGTGGCCAGAGCCCCTGTGCAATTGATCTTTGTATCTCAGATGCTTGGCACATGAGAGGTGCAAAATAAAGGGCTGGATGACCGAATGACTGCATGATGGAGGCTCAGGGATGCTCTGTGGCTGGCTCCCGGGGATGGGCTGTGGATTCTTGCTGGGACAGAACACGACCACAGTCTCAGAGGAAGAAAATGCAGGGCGATGCCCAGGGCTCAAGAGGTCCACATTTAAAGGCAAATGCTTCACACAGGAACATATGCACATATACCGACACGTGTGAGCTCGTGTACGCACGCCGCCCTTCCCTAACACCCTGGGGCTAGGGAGGCCCTAGGGCTCCTCTGGCTCCACACCGCCCCAGCCGGAGTTCTTCTGAAGCTCTTGGAAGAAGAGCCATCTCTGGAGGCTTCTCAGGCTCTCTAGGTCCTCAGCGGAGAGCTGCTTGGCCGATGTCCCCAGGTCCTGTTCTTCTTCCTCTTCCTCCATTTCCGTAAGTCCTTCAGGGGGCTGTGGGGAGCTCCTGGAGATATAGCCCTGGTCGGACTGCACGGACTGCCGCTGCTCCCCCTCATAGGGCGTGCAGAGGTCTTTGAGGGCCACTGCAGCTCTGTCCCAGCCCTCCTGGGCCTGGCAGCTCAGACTCTGCTGGAAGAGTGAGAACATCAAGCCTTCGAGCTGCTCCCTTACATCTTCTGGGACATAGTTGGGGGATGCCACTGGGGTGCTGCAGAGAGGCGGGGCCTCTGAGTCCACGGGGAGGCAGAGGACACTGTTCCGCCGCGGGCCGCAGCCCTCCAGCAGCGGGCAGGCCTCGTCTCCCCCGACCACGGCCAGCCGGCCCGCTGTGCTGCTCTTAACGGCCGGAGGGACAGGTTCCACGGCCTGAGCCGAAGGGACCTCGTCCACTGGGAGCACTGCGGTTTGGAGGGCCTGGGCCGCCAGCTCTCCTTGGGGCTGGAGTTGAGGTTCCAGCCTTGACAGCCCTCTTCCTTCCTCACTGACAAGCAGATCTCCCACCAGGCAGCCCTCAGAGGTGGGTTCGTGCACCAGGGGTTTCTGCTTGATGATCCCTCTTACTGGTGGCAGCAGGGGCTCTTCAAACACCTCTTCGTCCAGGGACGGGAAGTCCTGGTCATCCGCTGAGCAAAGGTTCTCGCGCTCAAACCAGTCTGGGCACTGGACCTGCCACTCCCGGAACCTCTCCACGGCCTCCTTGAGCTGCCAGCCGCTCGGGTTCTGCAGGTAGTTCTCACCTGTGAGCTCCCCAACGCGGTGCATCCGGCCAGGTTCAAACATCTCCAGGTCCTGGATCCGGAAGTAAACTTCCTCAAACCTGTCCATGAGTGGGTACCTGGAAGTGATGTTGAAGAGGTCGGGGATATCACTCTCACTGCTGATGTCACGGAAGTAGCAGACGATGTAGGTGCCGAAGCAGGCTGGCTTCTTGAAGTCTGGTAGGATCATGTTCATGGCTGCAGTGAAAAGGTCGCCTGCGGGCTTCCAGCGGTCACACCGGAGCTGGACAGCCGGCTCCTCCCAGCCAAGGATGGCCTGCCACTTGGCCCGGGTGCCTCGGGAGCACAGGATGATGATCTTGGAGTTGGTCTCCACCATCTCCTGCTTCTGGCGGCCCACCCAGGTCATGACCCCCACCTCTGAGATGACCTGCTCCTCCAGCAGGTCGAGGGCCACCTCGGTGCCACAGACGGTGAGCAGGAACTGGGCGAACTTCAGGACCACGTCCACGTAGAGAGGGTGGTCGGCAGAGTAGACAATCCAGACCTTCCTGGGCTTTAGGGGTGGAGGGGTCAGGCTGGTCTCGGGCAGGACATCTGAGGGAAACAAGGAAAGCCAGGCCCTCAGGTTTGGGTGTGCACCTGGGCTGATCCTCAGACAGCCCAGGGGGCGTCTGGGCCAGGCAGACACCGGTTCCCTAGTCTAAGTAATGCAACCGAGGCCTTGGAATAAGCCAGATGTTGCTCTTTCACCCGTTCTGGCTGCCTGAAAAGAATTACCATGTGGTGCCTTCTGGGAGAGTGCATTTCTTTCTCAAGATTCCTATCTGGCCTTGAGCCTGTACTTTAATTATTGTAATTAAAAAGCAAAATAGGCACAAAGGTCTCTCTATGGAATACAAACATCTGTTATAGGTAGGACCTCTTTTCATCAAAGATGGCACCCTTCCCTTCCTTTCCTTGTCCAAGTGATTTCAAAAATGGTACCCCAGCCTTGCCATTTGTGGTTCTCTCTGTGTGGGGGTCCTGGAAGGTGGGTCCTCCAAGCTGAGGCCTCCTGAAGGAAATCAGGAGTTCAACTGCAGAAGGCAACCCACCCCTGTGTCTCAAGAGAACCTTCCATCATGCCTTTGACAGCAACACTCACCGAACCCACCCCACCCACACCAGGAAATACTGACCTGTGTATTTGGTGTCATTACCATATTTTTCACGATGAGACCCTGAAAGAAAGAAAAAAAAAACACTGGAGCAGCTCTTTTGGAAGAGAAACAGGGACCAATTCCCAGGGGCATCTGAAGGAGTGCTGTCCCACCCCTGACCCAGGGCAGATGGTCAGGGAGGGCAGTCGGAGGCAGCTGCCAGATGCTCCAGGACCTTCACAGGACACTGGGCTGTGAGGAGCCGCTGTGTGACTCCCAGGCCTGCCATCAACAGCTGTGAGATCTGGGAAAGTTACTAAGGCCTCCGAAACTCAGTTTCTTCCTCTGTAAAAGCGGTCTGTGCAGCAGGGATTAAATGAGATTGTATCTGTGAAGTGTCTGGTACATTGTACATAGTCAGCTGGGGTCACGAATATTCTGCAGCACTGACCCAGCCAGGACCCCCAGCATGGTGACTAGGGGTTCCCCCCATGTCCCTCGTTCTAGCAATGGTTCCTCTCCTCCCCACAGTCTGGCCACCCCTGAGGAAACGCCCCACGGCAGGGAAAGCTCTTCCCCAGACTCGTCCTTGCAAGAGGCTTACAACACATCTCCAGAAGCGGCCCCCATCAGGCCTGTTTACAACATTTCCTCCTGATATTTCTGAGGTGAGAAAGGGAAACAACATTCTTAAGCAACTGCTCCCCCGGAGATACAAAGAAGGAACTGTGGTGTAGGAGTCAGCTCCTCGGTGACATGGCAGTATGCACGGAACCCATGGGTGGCCAAGGAAGACTTTTTTTTTAAAGATTTTATTTATTTATTTGAGAATGAGAGAGAGAGCACGAGAGGGGGGAGGGTCAGAGGGAGAAGCAGACTCCCTGCTGAGCAGGGAGCCCGACGCGGGACTCGATCCCGGGACTCCAGGATCATGACCTGAGCCGAAGGCAGCCGCTTAACCAACTGAGCCACCCAGGCGCCCCAAGGAAGACTTTTTGAACCAGAATTTCAATTCCCACCTCTTGGGCCTTTTCCCAGAACTACCAAAAGACAGTCGAACAAGTGTCCTTTCCTTCACCCCATGGTGTGGGGCACACTTCAATACAAGGTCAGAAATGCAACAACAGAAATGAAGCAAAAAGCCTCCGTGGCATCTATGAAGAGCTTTACAGTTTATAAAGCACTCATGGGGGCGCCTGGGTGGCTCAGTCGGTTAAGTGTCCGACTCTTGGTTTTGGCTCAGGTCATGAGATGGAGCCCTATGTGGGGCTCAGCACTCAGCGGGGAGTCCGCTTGAGATTCTTCCTCTTTCTCTCCCCTTTCCTTCTGCCCCCCCCCCAATCAATCAATCAATCTTTAAAGCACTCACGGAGATGTTAACTTATCTGACCCTGAAACAGTCCTGTGGAGAAGTGCCCTCACGGCGGGTCTTCCAGGGCCTGCTGTGGTAGTCTCCCCATCACACAAGAATTAATAATGATTAATACTTAATCCTGATGACCTTGGAAGTGCGGAAACAGCTCTCAGACCACTGAAGAAAGGGCTTGGGGCCGCGGAGGGGCAGGGGAAGGCCGAGCCCCTCACCTGGAGGCCCATGTGCTCTCCTGCTCAGAACTTGGCCAGAGAGGGCGGCAGGGAGAGGAGCTGCTACCTCCCAGCACTCGCTGGTCAGTGCCTTCCATGGCTAGACCAATCTGCACCACAACCTTGAGAGGGAGGGGTCATTATCCCAGTTCACAGAAGACAAAACCAAATCTAGGGTTTGTTCAGCAAGCTGCCTATGCCTGCAAAGCAGGGAGGCGGAGCTGCGAGCCGCATCCGTTTATTCTGGACCCACCCAGAGCCTTCTCTATCACATCGTGCTGTCCCTTGCTGTTCTCCCTGACAGATGTACGTGTCTGGGGGCTGCAGGATGGGCTCATTCAGGTTCTCCCACCTGCCTGGCTGATCATGTCTGAGGCAGGGAAACCCTACCTTAGCTCCTTCCATCCAGTTTGTTTTAATACTATTAATTTTGGTAGCAATAAACATAATTGTGGCTAACATACGTTGAGCAAATATGCGCCAGGCTCAAGGCTAAGAAGTCATATACGTTATTGCATGTAATCTTTATATTCGTTTTATGATATGGGTATCTTTATAATCTCCTTTTTGTAAAAGAGGAACCCAAGGCTCAGAGAAGGAAGTAATGTGCCCAGGGAGTAAGCAGTGGAGCTGGGATCTGAGCCCACTTCAGCCTTCCCGCAGGCTGAGTTCCTGACAAGGGAGCTTGCCATGGCCAAAGAGAGACAATGTCAGTAGTTCACTTGGGATGGGGGGCCTGGGACTGCAGGGTGCCCTCTGAGTACAGCCTTGCAGAGACCGGAGTGGGAAGAGGAAGGCGTGGGAAGAAAGAGAGGAACAGAGAGGCAAACCCCATGACGCCCCTTACCAGGTAGCCTCCAGGCCATGCAGACAATCAGCAGGATGACAGAACCCACCAGCAGGATGGAGATGCCCGTGATGAACCCGTACACCCACAGGGGTATGTAGTCTGTGGGAAGTGGGAACAGCATGAGTGACGTGGCGGAGGACGCCCGCTCCACCAGTCCCGAGCTCCTCCAGCCCCGCTGCCCAGCCCCTGGGCTGTCCTCTCTGGCCTGTGCCATGATATGCTGGTGACCTCCAGCCCCGGGCTGGCCTCCCAGTTCAGCCTTGTCTGCCTGGCTCCAGGCGAGGCTCAGTCAGGGACTTCTCATGTGGCTCCTGAGGAAGGGCCCCTGGGAACTCCCGCAGCATGATGGGAAGGACTGCCGGCCTTACCTGCAATTGAGACTGCAATGAGAACAAAGGGAAAATAGTATTCGTTATTAGCAGTAATCACAAAACCCATCGCTGACACCCACGGGGGCCTGCTGGTGACGATGGCCCTACCCTGAGCGCTCCAGACACCCGCTCAACTTAATGACGTCTACAGGAAACACCCAAGCTGCTGGCCTGCTAAGAGAGGCCCCAAATCCCACCCGGGAGGCCAGATCCTCCTCCAGGCCCACGTAAATGCTGTGGCTCAGGCTGCAGCGGCTTCTTTGTGGGCGGTGGGCCGCGGAGCGCAGGGGTGGGGAGGGACGGGCAGCTCTGCCGCTTTCCTGGCGTGTGATCTTGGACAAGTTACTGAGCATCTCTGTGCCTCTATTTCCTCATCTACGAACTGGGGGAGGGACGCTCTACTTCATGGCACCAGGAGTCACAATCCGTGGGGTTTAAAAGTGGACATGGTAAAGCACTTCGTGAGCCATACTAAAACTCTCGGACAAGGACGATCAGCAGTTCTTTAGTCACAGAAGTTCAGGATCAGAAAGGTTACGTATTTTGCCCAGGGCTACACAGCTAATGAAAGGCAGTCAGGAGTCCAACCCAGGAGTGTCTCTACGGCCCCACATTGCAGGCCTGAATAACTCCAAGTAAAATTAAAGCCCGCCCCCACCCTCAGCACCAGGTCAGGGCTCAGCTCAAGGTGCCGGACTTCCTTTACTCTCACCCCCCGAAAACGCCCCAGAGCAGCCATACACTCCCTACCTGGAGTCTCTGGAATTTCTGGGCAGGGGAGGCTTATGGAGTGTCTGAGACAGTCGTTGAGACAGCTACTGAAGAAGGGCTGGATCTGGGGGCGCAGAGAAAGCGGGGGACAGTGGGCCACTGAGACGCTGGGTGGGGAGGCTCGGGCCCTCCGCGAGTGTGCTCTTGCCAGCAGGGGCTCCCGGAGGGAGCAGAGCCTGGCCGGCTACTCTGGGACGCCCACGGGCCTGCCAGGCAGATCGCCCACAGGCTACCGGGCGCCAAGAAGCCCTGCCCGGGGAGGCCGGGCGTATACAGGGCTGGGGAAGGCAGAGAGGAGGCCTCACCAGGCAGGGAGCCCCAGGGGGTCGGGGTACCAGGTCCTCGGAGAAAGCACGAGTCCTTGAGCGGCCCGCCTTCCCCTACTCGGCCCCTCTAGGCGGAGGGCCCGCCCGTGCACGTGCTCCCACACCTGCCGGCGCCATCCGCACCCACCTGCACTCGGTGGCGGCAGCACCAGTTCCGGTCTGACAGGGCGAGCGTGACGTTGGCCCGCCGGTGGGCGTCCTCGAGTGCGGGCTGCAGGGAGGCGGGAGGGGGGTCAGGCTGGACGGGCACGCGCTTGCCGCAGCGCTAAAGGCGGCGGCCGGGAACACGGCCATTGCTGTCCGGCGCGCCCGAGGAAGGCTTTCCGGGTTTCCGGAAGAGTTCCCTACGGCAGCTGGCTCATTGTTGATTCAGGAGCACATCTAGTGACTGGTTTTTCTCTCTTTGCTTTGACTGCTGGGGATCGTGGGGACACATCTGTGTTCACAGCCAACGGCATGACACACATTTTCTGTAGTAACCCCACCCTGGCTTCCTCTTGTTTCCTCATCTTTATTTCCCCTTTGTCTTAATACCACATTTTAAAACTCTTCAGGTCCTTTTTGGAACAGGTGGGATAAAAAAAAACCAAAGCAAAGAGAACCAGGGGTACTGTGTGGAAGGAGGGTCTGAGAGGATGGGGGAGGCAAGCAGGGCACAGATCAACTATACAACGGAGCCAAAGGGAAGGTACACCACAGACCCGACTCTACACCCGCCACATATCAGAAGGAAAGACAAAGAGCTGAGCAGCACAGAACTGGGATCAACCAAGCACAGTACTGGGTGGCTTGAAGCTTGGGGAGGGGGGCGTAGAGCTACATGAGAGGGCCGGGACAGTGACGGCCTTACGTCGGGCACCATGAGGACACGATGGAAGCAGCTCTGGTTCTCCGTGTGTGGAAAACTGGTCAGCAGGATCTGGTAAGGGGTAGACTCGTTCCACAGCGTGAAGCTCACCCGCAGCTGCTGGGCCTCCAGGGTCTCTGCCGTGATGTTGGGGTCCCACAGGCTGCCTGCCCAGGGCACAGACACGGGTTGGGAGTGAGGGGGTGGTGTGCGTGTGCACCCGAGTAAAGCTCCCCCAGCAAGGCCGCTGGCTGTGGTTACCTGAGCTCACACACGGTGTGGTCCTCCTCATCCTGGGGTCTTCGCAGCCTGCCAACCCGGAAAAAGGGGAAACCACTAAGCCTCTGTCTTAGAAAGTTTGCTCTTCCAGACTCCTGACACCATGGACAACCACCTCTTTCCTTCTGGGGAGTCTGGTCAAAGATGGCCCCGTCAAAGCAAGCTCCAGGACTGAACTGCTACCAAGGGCCAGAGGCCCCACAGAACTGGGGGTTGACCTGCTTGTGTCCTCCCTCGTCTCTCACAGAACCTTCCAGACTCAACTCCCGAGCTTGCTGAGAGTCTCGGCCTACTCTAGTTCCTCCCCCCACCCTCTCCGCCCGCCCCCAGCCTTCTCTGCAGGTTGCCTCTGACTCTTGACAGGGGCAGAAGTACTTTATTCCTTCACAGCAGTGTTTCTCGAACTTTCCTGTGCATCACCCTGGGTAGTTTCTGGATGCAGTCGGTCTGGGGAGGGTCCATGAAAACCTGCATTTCTAACAAGCTCCCAGGTAATTCAAGGATGCCACTGGCTTAGGGACTGCCCTGAGGACCACTGCTCCATAGACATCTTCCTGCCTTCCCTTCCCCAGTGGCCTTGCCTGTAACATTTTCACTTTGGTTTAAGAAGACATGTGACAGGTGTGAACTGCTGTGACAGGGACTGAGTTAGTCTACTGTAGGAACAAAGGAAGGGCCTGGGGGGGCTGTTCACTCATTTGACAAGCACTTATGAACACCCAACCTGTTTCAGGCACTGGTTTAGGCACTAGAGATACAGTGGTGAATAAGGGAGAGTCCCTGCCCTCTGGAGAGCACATTCCAGTAGAAGAGACCAAAGAAAACAAACAGTATAATGTAACGTCACAAAAATATCATGATAATGTGTAAGGGAGTGATGGGTAACGTGAAGAAAAATAAAAGCAGGGTAAGCAGATTGTGTGTGTGTGCGTGTGTGTGTGTGAAGGCTGTCATCATCCTTAACAAGCATGTTTCTGAACTGCCTACTACAGGCAAGGCAATGGGAGGCTTGGGAGCTTGCGTGCATGGGTGTGAGCCCCGGACCCTGTCCTCAAGGGGGCTGGGGCTCCAGACGGAGTCGGCTTTGAACAATGGGAAATGTAGGCTGTGGCTGAGATGCTGGGAGGACAGAGAACTAGAAGGTGCACAGACATCAGATGACACTTTAGAAGATCAGCCCCGCGGTCTTTCCTGGGCAGGACGGACCTGAGGGGAAGAGGGGATGGTGTCACACATGGGATGGTGGCAGATAAATGCAGGTAGGATATGGGGTAAAAAGTGAAGAACCAGGCAGGGCAGGTGGGGAATGAAACAAGACAAACGTGCAGAGCGAGGTGATGAGGGACGAGGCTTGAAGCGGGGGTTAAACTCTCCTGAGAGCGGCTGGTCTTCCCGACGTTTCCTGGGCAGGAGGTCCCCAACCGAGGCGTCTGTTCATTCTGTAGGTACCACATGCTGACAATGGCAGCCATGGATGGCCCAGCTGAGCGGGAGGCTGATGTCCGAGCCACCTACTGGTTTCTCTCGAACAGGAAGAGCCGAGTGGTGAAAGGAATGGCTTGGGAGGGCGCTCTTACCGGGCACGGGGAAGTTCTTGGACTGGTGATTTGGGTCCCCGTCAGGGATGGGTTTGGGCAGGTGGTGAACGGTCACCTCATAGTCCTGGCCAGGTTCTACCACAAAGTGGCCGAAGGTAAAATGCCACTGAAGAGAGGGAGGAAGGGGAGGTCAGACAGGTCACATGCACACCTCTCACCCAGCGGTGTGTGCCCAGAGAACTCCACCCCCGCCCGCCCCCTGAAAGGTCCGAGAAACAGGGGAAGAAAACCACCACAGCAAGACCCCAAATCAGAGGGAGGTGTGTCTCTGCTCTTGGTTTCCTCTGGTCTTTGATGCCTACCTAAAAAACCTAGATCTGGCGTCCTCAGTAGACAGTAGTGTCATATGCCAGAGAATCTGGGGAAAGCCGAAACAGCCCTCCCCCCTGGTCAGCCCTCTCAGACTCCAGAACGATGGGGTGAGGGAACTGGCCAGAGGACTCCGGGCCAGTGGGAGAGCTAGCACACAAGAGGCAGCTAAAAACCGTTTGTTAAGTGACTCTTCCTCCTTAAATGGGCAAGTCGGGATCTCTTGAGAATGTTCTGGAGCACAAAAGTGCAGAGGGAGGGCTACAGATCCCCACTCAGCGTGTGCCTGCAATCACCTCTGTTGGAGATTACAGAAGGTGTGAGGATATTTTCTGGATGGTGCAGATGACATATTGATTCCAACTTCCACCCTAATTAGCGTGGGGGTGGATGGGGGTGTGCGGTCCTTTGCTTCTAAGTTGATCTAGGCACCTGGGCCTCACCATCCAGCCAGCAGTCAAGTTTGGGGGTCCTCATTAAATACAGGGGAAGGGAACTGTCTTGGCTGCTTGCGTTTGTGGGAGATCTGCAAACAGACACTTTTGCAGATTTTAACTGGCAAGTTTTCAGACTGGAGCTTGCCCCAGAATCACTTGGTAGGCTGGTTCAACACTGACTGCTGGGCCCCAGCCTCAGCATTTCTGATTCTGGAAGTCGGGGGTGGGGCCCTAGCTTCTGCATTTCTAACTGGTTTGCAGGGCATGCCCATGCTGCCGGCCCTGGGACCACACTCTGTGAACCGATGCTTTAAACACACTAGATGAGAATCAACCTTTTACCATCGGGCAGTGAGTAGCAAAATAAACAGAAACTGCTGCAGAACTCCCCCGCTTGTGCCCCCAGCCACTGCAGTTCCCAGGTCTGGGCAGAGCTGCTCCTTCCTGGAGGCAGGCCCCACATTAGCCTCAGTCACACAGGAGGAGAACGGGAGTGGGGCTGTGCAAGGCCTTCCACTCAACTTCCTTCACGCTCAACAACTAGGGAAAGTTGGGAGCAAAAGCAGGGGTGGGCACGTCTGGGAAGTCTTCAAAAGCACTTTCCGCTCCTCGCTATCAGTAGAGGAACACAATGCACTCTGGAGCCGGCTGCTTACCCGCTTGCGATGATGCTGCAGTTTGGACAGAAACTCAAACTTGACGCACAAGCGTTCATTGGTATTCAGCTGCAGGACAGATAACTCTGCACCCTCCAGGAAGAGGATGCTGGCTGCAGGTCGGAGGGAGAAGAGACGAACAGAGGCAGGTCAACAAAGACAAACCACTGGGCGTGGAACTTCCCTGTTATGCTTACTCACTCTTGAAAGAAAATCTGTTCACTGTACCTAACCCTCCACTTCCTGCTCCCTCCAGCTCACTCTTGGGCTTGGTGGAGCCCACGGCCTTGCAGAGGTTACTTCCCAGCTGGGCAAGGACAAGTGAAACTTTACACTGCGCCAGAGGCAAAGGCTGCGCAGATTTGTGGCCAGGATGTTGACAACATGGCCTGGGTGTCAAACCTGGCTGTCCCCATCCTTGGAGAGGCTCGGGTAGGCACCAGGGGCTGGAGACTTATAAGGAGGACGACCTCCCCCGGGCCCTGGTCACAAATGTGGGGCTGGCTCTTGTTAACCCCAATCTTCCTGATTCTGTCATACGACTCTCTATCCCTGAAGAGGTTTTGGCGGGGGGAGTGTTGTCTTAAAAAATGCTAGCCCGTAGGGGCACTTGGCCGGCTCAGTAGGTGGAGCATGTGACTCTTGATCTTGGGGTCATGAGTCTGAGCCCCACGTTAGGCGTGGAGATTACTTAAAAAAAAAAATGTCTGCCCCTAAATTAAGGGAAAAAGCACACTGGCCAATGTGTTACCATTTTCCAATAAATATTTGGTACCACAGTCAGAGAATGAACCACTTGACTTTCTTTCTGGGGTGACAGGATTTTAGACTGAAGGAGGGATGGTGGGTTGAGAAGACACCATCATGGGTTAATATCTAAAACACTAAAAAAGTATTCATTTACTGCATGAAATGATGGAGGCTTTCAGCATGAAATCTGGGCCCTCGTGTCTGAGGACGGGACGGGGAGCCCCATTCTGAGTCTGGTGGGAGAGCCGGTGGTCTGGTGTGTGGACTCACCTGGAAGAGGGTTGAACCTCCCAGGGCCCCCACCCTCCCGACACGCCCACTCACCGTCTGTCTGCAGGGTCCACCTGATGCGAGCTACAGGCAGTAGGTCTCCATGCTGGGTCTGGGCAAAGTCCAGGTGGACCTGGACATCTTTGGGGGATGAAGGGGTCAGATTTCGAGGGTGGATCCAGCTGTCATCCAGGCAGGTACCTGGAGCGAGAAAATGCAGGCATCAGAGATCCCCACGCTCTGCAAGAGCCTGAAGCTGCAGGAGAACGAGGCGTGCAAGCAAGATGCCCCAGCAGTGGCTCCAGAGAGCTCGATCGTACACACGCAGGGGCCTGTGACCCTCGGCTGGCTGAGTCCCTGCAAATCTCTGAAGTCTAAAGGGCATTTTAGGACAGGAGACAAAGCATGAAACTTGGTTTTGCGATAAAGCAGTGAAACGGGGCACAGGAAGGATGGGGTAGTGATAAAAGTTGATTTATATTATATGCCAGGGTTCGTCCCTAATTAGCACAGACACTTGAAGTGTGTGCCTCCTTCTTGAATTAAAACGCAAAACAGGATCAACATCACAGATGTCTCTCACTTTCCAGTGACAAGCTCTGACAAATCAAATCGTATTGTAGACACACCAGGGCAGCACCCCAGACAATGTTTTCAAAACCTAAATGACAATTCTGTGTCTCACTTCCTGACTTTTGCATCATGGATATTCTTGATAGGAAACGCAGGTGTACACAGCCTGGATTCTCAAGGATCCCTCCTGCTGAAGGCTGCCACCCCCATCTGGAGCCTAGGTGGAGGGGCAGTGCTCCTGTCGGACAGCGGCATGAGGTTAGCACTTTATTAACAAGGCAACAACAGGATGAACAAAAACAGATGACTTACTATTCTTCACTGCACAGTTTAGCCCCTGCGGAAGAAAGGAAGGAGGTAATTACAGCTGTGAAGGAACGGTAATTCACAAGCCAGGCTCCCCATGCTCCCCTTGGCTCATTCTCAAGAATAAAATGTACACAGCACCACCCTCACTTGTGGGGGCCGCTCGTGGGGCAGGGAATCATAGTCTCCTCACACTTCTCTCATCCTGCCCATCCGAGGAGAAACAGGACGGCAAGTGGGTCCAGTGGATGACAAAATGGAAAGGGCATTTTCTGAGTAACTGTTAACAGCTGGGAACTTCCCCCTTTTAAAAGACACTGAGAGGGTTCTCTTTTGGGGCACCCCGCTGAAAAGCCCTCTAAATACCCTGGGGCTTCCCACCTCCCGTCTGGACAACAGCGTGGCCAGAGAAGCGAACAAAACCACAGTTCCGGTGACAGGGTCAGCTATGGAAAATTCACCAACTCCCTACAAGCTCCTGTAGGTGCCAGCCCCTGATCTGGGTGACCAGACATATTATTTCACTAAATCCTCACACACACTTAGGACCAAGTGTTACCCTCAGCCCCGTTTTATAGATCAGAAAACTGAAGCACAAATGTCACCTTATGCTGCCTCCCACTTTGGCAATATGTGTGAACTCTCTAACCCAGAAGAGCTCTGGAGAGCCAGATCTAGAAGCCTAATTACAAACAGTAGGAAATGCAATCACTGGCTTCAGTTTGGCCAGCTGACTCTTCTTGGGAAGACACGCACACACATCCTTGGAGCTGAGTCACCTTACCACCACTTACCAGCTAAGTGATTTTAGGCCAGATACCAAACATTGCGAGGCCTTGATTTCTTCAACTGTAAAATCAGAATTACCATAATACTACCTTCATAGCATTGGTGGGAATTAAATGATACACATATAAAGAACCTGGGGCAGGGAGTGGGCTGGTAGTGATGGCGGTGTGGAAGGGAGCCCTTCACTTTCCGCTTCTAATCTATCTGTATTACAAAAGGTTTCAAACAGCAGAAATGTATTTGTGTATTAACTATACAATTAAATAAAACAATACAGTGCCCCCAGACTGTTAAACAGGCAGCTGTTAAACAGCCCTAAGAAAATCATGATGAGGAATTTTGTTGGCTGCAGTGCCTGGGGAACTGTCATTGCCTGCTCAATGACACAATATTTGTCCAGTGTCTGGGACATAATGGCCGCTCTTTAATTATTGGCTGCCCTTCCTTAGAGCTTGGCATTTAGTAAGCGCTCAATAAATGGAAGCTCTTATTAAAAGGGCTGACCTCCACATATTCAGATTTGGCTTTGATTCTGGAGCCAGGAAGAACTCAGGCTCAGGTATTTCTAGTTATCCAGTCTGGCAAAATGGACCGATCATGTGGAGTAGAAAGTCAGATGTTGAAGCAGATCAGGAATACAATTTTCAGGACAACAGAGGGATTTGGTAAATGCGTGTAAATCTGGTGTTGGGGTCAGCACCTGCCTTTCTCTCAAGAGGGAGCAGAGAGACAGGGTTAAAGATGGGAGAAGATGCTCGGCCACCAGGGTTCATTCACAAAGCGGATACAGGGATAATATCCTTGAGCACGCTCCAGGACTGATTCTAAGCATGCCATTTCATCCATACCCTACCTTCTGGGATGCTAGTCCATGAGCCCTTGGGGTCCTGTCCAGCTCCTGGTGCTGAATTCTCACTCACCCAGGGCCATTGAAACCCTGTGAGGCACTCCTCACGCGTTCAACAAGATCCACTAGCTGCCTCTGCTCACTCTAGCGTCACTCTGTTTCCTGGCCGGTGAGATTAACTTCCATGCACATGCTCATTTCTCCTCCCACCAGAAACTCCTAGGACTGGGGCACAGAGGACAAGAAACTGCTATCTACTATGGAATATTATGTAAAGATTAAAGAGAATTAGTTATGTAGATATCTACTGACCTGGAGTGATGCTTAAGATGTGTTGATGAGTGAGAAACATAAGCAAAGAACTTCTTATCATATGATCCAATTTTCTATGGAAATAAGTGATGAAAAAACCCTTCCCATATATTTACATATGATGAATATAATTGTATGAACATATAAAAATATTTGGACAGTTACATAGCAGGTTGTTAACACACGGGTTACTGGGGGTAAAGGGATGGAAGCAGAAGAGATGGAGAGGGAAGATGAGGGGAAAAAGATTTAAACGAAAGAGAAAAATATGCGTATCAGTGAAATATCGAATAATACATTCCATTAGAGGTCACGGCATGTTGATCATATACGTACATTATCCTCTCCCCCTCCCCAAACCATAGGAAAGTTCTAGGAACGAGAACATTTTTAGAAATTTTCATGGACAAAGAAGAAACATCAGTGGACAAAAGATGTAAACAAATTAAAAAAACATTTTTTTTTAGATTTTATTTAACTATTTGAGAGAGAGAGAGACAGCATAAGCAGGGGGCACCGCAGGCAGAGGGAGAAGCAGGCTCCTTGCTGAGCAAGGAGCTCGATTGTGAGCTGAGCCGAAGGCGGACGCTTAACCAACTGAGCCACCCAGGCGCCCTGAGAACAAATTTTTATTTTATTTTTTTTTAAAGATTTTATTTATCTGAGAGAGCGAGAATGAGAGAGAGAGAGAGAGAGCACATGAGAGGGGGGAGGGTCAGAGGGAGAAGCAGACTCCCTGCCGAGCAGGGAGCCCAATGCAGGACTCGATCCCGGGACTCCAGGATCATGACCTGAGCCGAAGGCAGTTGCTCAACCAACTGAGCCACCCAGGCGCCCCAACAAATTTTTATTTTATTTTTTTAAAAGATTTTATTTATTTATTTGAGAGAGAGCGAGCACAAGCAGGGGGAGCTGCAGGCAGAGGGAGAAGCAGACTCCCCGCTGAGCAGGGAGCCCGATGCGGGACTCGATACCAGGACCCTGGGATCATGACCTGAGCCGAAGGCAGACGCCCAACTGCTAAACCATCCAGGTGCCCAGAGAACAAATTTTTTTAAAAGCCAAAGTGGAAGGAGGAGTAGGCAAATGGCTCAGGTCAAGCGGGAAAAGAACAAGAAAGAAGCCAACAGAACGTTTTAAAGCATCAGGTCTTATACTTAACTAATGAATCACTGAACACTGCATCAAGGACTAATTATGTACTATACAGTGGCTAACTGAACATAAAAAAAAAAAAGGCATCAGGTCTTAAGGGTATCACATGTCCGGGGAGGTAGTATAAACAAAGGAGCTGAAGCGATGCGGTTCAGTGAAGGTCTACATAGGGAATGTTGGAACCTTCGCCTCTTTCCCTGCTCTGATCTCAGAATGCTGGCAGCCAAGCCCTGGAAAAGACCTCCCGATTCTGACATTTGATAGTCCACTGATAGACAGGGCATGTTCACCATTAGCTTGACCCCCTATAGTAAAGTCAATAAGCCCTACCTACACAGAGTATTTGATCAGCTTTTTAGGACCTTATTCTTTTAAAAAAATTTTTATTAAGTTTTTCATTTTAATTTCAGTATAGTTAACATACAGTGTTATATTAGTTTTAGATGTACACTATCGTGATTCAACACTTCCATACATTACTCAGTGCTCATCATGATTAGGACCTCATTCTTTCTTTCTTTTTTTTTTTTTTTTTAAAGATTTTATTTATTTATTTGACAGAGAGAGATACAGTGAGAGAGGGAACACAAGTAGGGGGAGTGGGAGAGGGAGAAGCAGGCTTCCCGTGGAGCAGGGAGCCCGACATGGGGCTCGATCCCAGGACCCTGGGATCATGACCTGAGCCGAAGGCGGACGCTTAACGACTGAGCCACCCAGGCGCCCCAGGACCTCATTCTTAAAATATTCTCAGACAGGGGCGCCTGGGTGGCTCAGTTGGTTAAGTGTCTACCTTGGGCTTGGGTCATGATCACAAGCACCCTGGGATCAAGCCCTGCATCTGGCTCCTTGCTGAGCAGGGAGCCTGCTTCTCCCTCTGCCCTGCCGCTCCCCCTGCTTGTGCTCTCTCTCTCTCAAATAAATAAATAATTTATAAAAAAATGTTCTCAGATGGCCAAAGAGTATCAGATACTTAAGAAGGGTTTCCTGTATGAAACATAGATCAAAACATAAAAATTTAAAAAAATGCTCTTGGAGGAAATAAGACAATGCTGGGAACAGAGTAAAATTAAAACAAAATTATAATAGTTTCAAAGAGATAAGAGAGGACACTGACAAGGACAGGATACTGTCTTGTCTCTCTCAAATAAATAAATAAAATCTTTTAAAAAAATAAAATAAAAATAAAAATTTGTTCTCGGGGTGCCTGGGTGGCTCAGTTGGTTAAGCGTCCGCCTTCGGCTCAGCTCACGATCGAGCTCCTTGCTCAGCAGGGAGCCTGCTTCTCCCTCTGCCTGTGGTGCCCCCTGCTTATGCTGTCTCTCTCTCTCTCTCAAATAGATAAATAAAATCTTGGTAAAATGAGCAAGCAGAGAATAAAAATGAACCTTGGAAATAAAATACCCCATAGAAGGGTTGCGCTGTAATTCAGGAAATTCTGAAAGTAGAATGAACAGAAACAGAAATAGGAAAGAAAATATATGACTATTTATTGAATCAGTCAGGAAATCAAGGTATGATTAACTGGATTTCCAGAAGAAGATTATAGGATACATATTTCCAAATTAAAAAGTTTCCCTGAATGGCCTGGAAAAAAGGCCCAGAACAAGGTCCAACATCATGAAACTTCTGGAATACTAGGAATAAGATCTAAATATTTCCAGAGGGGGAAAAGTAGGGTGCCACACACAGACAGGAAGGCATTGGCCTCCTCAGCATCTGTACTGTTTGCTAGAAGGCAACAGAACAATGCCTCCATAACTCTGAGGGGAAATCATCTTTAACCTGTGATTTTTATGCCCAGCCAAATTAACAAAAGGTGTGAGGGTATATGTGTGTATATATTTCCCTCACATCCTTATCCATTTTCTTAGGAAACCGCAGAAGGGTATGTTCCAGCAGAATGAGGGAGGCAGGCTCTGGGAAGACAGACAGAGGATCCAGGACAGGACACTGAGTACAAGAGTTGTGCCACAGGCCTAGACAGGGACCCGTTCAGGCTGGAGCTGGAGAAGGCGGGGTTCCAGGAGGGAGTTCTCTGGGGGGAGAGGGAATGGAATCAATGGAATAGCTGATGTTTGGGGAAAACAACATCTGACAAATCTGACAGAAAAAACTGACTGATTACATGGAAAATTATGGAAGAATTAAAGCAGTTATCATCTCAGAAGGGGAAAAGGAATTACACCAGAAAAGGAATATAATCAAAGTACACCTACTGGCCTCAGCAGTGAAGATTACTTACTTGTTACAAACACGAACGATGGATTTCACGAATATTGTGATGTGGGAGAAATGTAAAAAATTTAAATTTTTATCTATTATGAGTCAACAGGCAATATCGAACATTGACAAGTCAAGAATAACAATGTAAGTACATTTAGAAATGTGGAGGCAAATGCCAGGGGGAAAAAAACCTAAAATAAATGTAAGTGATCATCTTTGGGAAACAGTTTTAGGGAGTGGCGAGGGCTGGGACAGAGATCTGTCGGTTTGGGTTTTCTTTTTCTTTTTTTTAAAGATCTTATTTATTTACTTGAGAGGGCGCGTGCAGGTGCACACAGGGGGTGGGGCAGAGGAAGAGGGACAAGCACACTCCGTGCTAAATGCAGAGCCCGAAGCGAGGCTCGATCTCAGACCCTGAGATCATGATCTGAGCTGAAATCAAGAGTCCGAGGCTTAACCGACTTAGCCACCCAGGCACCTCCCCCGCATTATCCCATTTTTACTGATGAAAAAACTGAGACACAGAGAGGTCAGTTAAGTGGCCCAAGGTCCCACAGAGCTGACACTCAAACCCATGCAGTTCTGCTCCAGAATTCATGCTCTGAATCACTGCTATACCATCTAAATGAAAAAAAAAAAAAGGACACCTGCAACAGGCAGGCCAATATTCTCTGTCTATAGTGGTGAAGATTAAAAGGAAGAAATTTATTTCACTGTGTCTAATTCTGTGCATTCAACGGACAAGACCAAGTGCCTGGTAAGGAAAGGTGGGCTCTGAAGTCACGTACCACGTGGATTCTCAGCCCAGCACTGGGTAGTGGGATGACCTTCGGCCAGTTACCCAGCCTCTCTAGAAGGGGTCAGTGGTGTGGCCTGGAAGTTGTTGTGAGTGTGGAGGGAAGCTGTGCAGGTGAACCCCCCGTACAGTGCCTGGCACAGAGCTACAGGTGAATGTTATGCCCTGGCACCTTCCGAAGCTACAATGCACGTAGTCTGGTGCTTTACCTCCATGGAATCTGCTCTCCCCATAACCCTGTGAGGCGAGGATCTTTTGTACGGGGGAACACTGGCTCCCCACAGTGGAGTGACTGACCCTGGGCTGCACAGCGGGTGAGCGGGGAAGCCCAGCGCAGAGCCCAGGCCTTCTGACTGGCATGGCCTCTCCCCTACACGGCCCTGCTGGGTGCTGCTGGCAGCTATCTGATATCACAGTCTCTAGATGGAAGGCCTGTTGGGAGCGGGCAGGGTGCGAGGTATGATGGCCAAGGGATGTGTTAACTGCAGCGAGCCCAGCCCTGACTGCCAGAATGCCTCTACCATGTAAAAGCGTCCCCAGAACACCTTTTACACCAGGAGAGTGGAATGGTAACCGGAAGGTAAGGGTTAAATCTAACCCTTGTTCTGCCCCAAGTCTAAACCACAAAGTGCTCAGGAAAGAAAAAAAGAATTTTTAAGACAACATACATCCTGTCCATAAAACAGTGTGTTAACACTCAAACTGACCAAATCCAAGTCATTGTCTTCCCTTGAGGGCTCTCCTCTGGGCTAGCAGTCATGGGTGACGTGTGAGAAAGCCCGGGCCAGGGAAGGGCCAACGGGGGGATGGGGGGGGCGGTAGTGGAGACTGCTCAGGACAGGGAAAAGCAATTACTTATGATTTCTCCAATATCGATTTCTGTGGGGAACTCAAGAGTAATCTGGGTTTTGAGGTGTTAAACCCGGGAAGCTAGAAACAGTGCTATGCCTGGTCTCAGGTAATCACTGCACTTCAAGCAGAGCCGACCACTCATTCGTTCATTCACTCACTCATTCCTTTGACTTTCATTCCACAAATACTTATCAAGCTCCCACATCCTGTGCTTGCAGCACTGGGCTAGTAGCAGAACAGAACAGGTCTGCAGAAGGCTCCTGTCTGTCTTGGGAGAGAGTCACTGAGTGCTCAATCCAACCAGGCTTTGGATAGGCATTTATATATTCTGGAAAGTGGTTCGGACACACTTTGCAATGGCTCATCCAGCTCTTGCTTGTGGAAGTAGGAAACCCAGGCGAAGGAGCAGGCAGCCTAAGCTGCTCAAGCTTGCAGAGATTCTAGGTGGTGAAGTCAGGATGCAAATGCAGGTGCACTGAGGCCAAGTTTGTGGCCTTCCCTCCCCTCATTATATTATGCTGCATCCACTGAAACACCAATGGAGGCAGAGAAATCTGAAGGGTTTCTTTCTTTTTAAAGGGACTAGTCCATGAAGCAGGGAAGCTGCCTGTCCACGGAGATGAGCCGGTTGTGAGCCAGGTGTGTAGGTAGAGGCAGGGTGGGGGGAAGAACGTGGGAGATCGCAGACAACTCTGGCCAGTAAGTATCCCTTTCCAGCCCTGCCCCTGCTCCTGACTTTCAGGAGTGCTTCCCACTGAGCAATTAAAGTCAAACACAGCCTAGCTCTCACACCAGGCTGCCATGGAGCCATGGAGTCCCTACCTCCCTTTCTAGCTTCTTCTCTCACTTCCTGCCACACACACCCTCCACTGCAGCCACACACCTTTTCCTGCCCACCCAAGGGCCTTGGCTCAGCCCCTTTCCGCCACCGGGACTGCTCCACCACTGGTGTTTTGGAGGCCCCCACCACCCCTCAGGGTTGCCCAAATGGCTTATCTGCCATGAAGAACATCTCAGCTGGAAATCATTTTTCTTTTCCTTGGAATTCTGTACATTCTCTGGTTGCACAAAGAGCACTTGCTACAGGCTGTCTTGCACCACAGTTAGCACCGTCAAGCCTTTTCCCCTCCTAGATGATTTAAGTTGCTGGACATTAGGGTCCCAGGGGTGTTTCCTGGTAGTTTCAGTTCAGAGCAACAGTAGTACCTTGTATTTTGCAGGCACTTGGCAAATGGCCATCAAAAAATGAACACCGAATTCTCTAGGTAGGATAGTTCTATACCGAGTTGTGGGATCTGCTAAGCATATATCCCCTGCTTTGCCTAAAAGTGGGAGTTACAAGACCATTTCCCAACAATTTTCACATTAAAAAAAAAAAAAATCCTGCTAAATAGTCACTCATCCTCCGCCCTCTTTTGGCAAATCCTCCACAAAATTAGATAAGGAGAAATATCTCCTTGGTTGTTTCACATCCTCTGACTCAGTTACTGGGTCAGAAGTGGTGGGGGGGAGGGGGCTGAGAAAACCAGAGAGAAAGTGGAAGAGAGAGGGCAGCTTTGAGGGAAGAAGTTGTGGAGGTGGGCAGGGTGTTTTGCTGTTTGTTTTTTTCCCCTTAAGACGGTCCTCCACAAAAGGGCACTACCCAAGGGGTGGGTGTGTCACTTCCTGTGAGCACAGCGGGGGTACTACTTGACAGGTACAAACTGGACCCTAGGGGTGGTGATGGTGGGAGCTGGAAAGGCGGTGTCTTAATCCTCTGCCCAGTCCTCAGGGCTTCGTCCCTCTGGAGAGGTGTCGCCCGGAGTCGGCCGGCTGCCCTCGGCATAACTGTCCCCGTCTCACCGCTCCGAGCCCTTAGCCCCCACAGGCCGTCCGGGCTCGCGCGCAAGGCTCTAGGACCGCGGGGTCCCTCCCGGGGAGTGGGGCCGAGATCCGACCGGGCCCCAGACTTCCGCACAGTCGCCCCCGATCCGAATGCCGGGGGCTGGCGGGACTCCTTTGAGGGGAAGCTCTCGAGGTCCGGATGGGTCTCCCGGGCCCGCCCCAACACCACGGGGATTTGCCGGGCGCACGGCGTGGAGGCCGCTCCGGGCCAGTCCTGGCTCCTCCGACGGGCCCTCCCCACCTCCCTTTCTAACTGACCCTGCCCCGCCTCTCTGGCCGACCCCGCGCCTCCCTCTCCTTCCTCGAACCGCGGGGCCCTCGCGGCGGCGCTCCCGCCTCCTGCCCAGGACGGGGGGTCGGGTCGTTTCCCCTGAAAACTCGCTCTGTTCTCCGGTCCACCCCGCAACTCCCACCGCTCCGAGGGTCCTCCCGAGCGTGCCCGCTCTTTGTGGCCGAGCCTCGTACCCACTGAGACCCCCCAGCGCAGACTTCCCGGCCCGGGGCACCTCGGCCGCCCCCGCAGCATCCTCGGGGCGCGTCGGGGTCTCTCTTACCTCCTGGGAGCAGACTGGCGTCGGGTGGTCCAGGAGCCGCGGGGAGGCGCGAGCCGGGGCCAGCCCGCTCAGGAGCAGGGGCAGCAGCAGCCGCCCCAGCGGGAGCCCCGGGAGGACGGGTGGGCCGCGGCGCGGAGTCCCCATGGCCCCGCACTGTCGCGGAGCGCTCGCAGCCCGCGGCTGGAGCACTGCAGAGGACCGGCCCTGGGCTTCCCCTTCCGCCGAGAAGCTCGGAGTTGGCTCTTCTTCGCCGGCTTCCGGCTTCCAGCCGCCCAGGGGGCGGGCCGCCGAGGGGCAGGGCTTGCGCCCGGGACCCGGCGCCGCGCTGGGCCCTCCTTCGGCGGTGCGTCCAGGTGCGCGCTCCTCCCCGCGCTCCTCGGCCCGGCTTCCGCGGCCGGGCATCCGCACCCGCGCGCACGTTTCCCGCCGCCCCGGCCGCTGCGGTCGCCTGGCTTTCGGGCCCCCTCCCGTTCTCAAATTTCATCCCGGCTCTTACCCGCGAGCCTCAGCCCCCGACTTTAGTCCCTTCCCGCTTTGCCCTCGTCCCTGATCAGCCTTCTCTGGGCTTTCTTTTCGGTCCTTGGACGTCAGGCCCCAGCTCGAGACTCCAAGGAAGTCCGTTTTCGTAGTCCCTGTCCCTCTATTCCCACCCCCTGGACACTCCGGGGTCTGGCTCTGCCTTCCCTGGCTTTCCTTTCGTTTCTCAAGCACCGGCGGCTGCCGGCTCCGACGCATTTCTCGGTTGGGTCCAGGGGAAGGAAATGGGAGCAGTCATTCCCCACACAGTTGGCCCCCACTTTGCGAGACTGGATTGCTGGGGGGAGGGGGCAGGCCCCCGGTTTGGGACCATTCTGCGTGCCCACAGCGCCCCAGACCGCCGCATTTCCCGAGACTTACTCCACGTCCGCTGGCGGACGGCCGCCGTGATCCCAGCTCCTAGTCTCCCGTCCTGACGACCGATGATCCTCTGGAACGAGAGCTGACTGCATGCTCTCGCGTCCGGACCGCCAGACCATCCGCCATCCATCCCAAGTCGGGCGCACGTCTCCCCTCTCCTGGCTCCCTCCAGGCGCCAGCCCCGGCTTGAGGCTTCGAGCCTCGGCCTCCCGCGTTTCACCCTGCCCGCTCCTAGCACATCTGCCTTTCGCAAACGGCTTCGTATCCCCTTCCTCCGTTTCCCTACACCCGCCGTCGCCCGCATTTTCTTCCCAGTCAGGTCTAATCGCCTCGCCTGACCTTTGACACCCACGGAATCTAGACGTGCTTGGCTTTTCCCTGCGTTTCGCACTCACCCGGACTGAATGGAGCTGCCAGGTCTGGGGCGGTGGCTTTTCTCACTGTCCCAAGCAGCCACCGCCCCTTCCCGCTGCCCAAGGCCCGCTGGCGACCCTCTGCTAGACCCCGCCACCTGACAGGCCCCGGCTCGATTAGGCCTCAAGCCCCGTGGTCTCCGAACATCTTTACTTGTTTATTTCTAAAAGAAGTCTTGAAAACTCTGCATCCTCTCACCCATTTTTAAGATGACACCTAAAACTTTTCGTCCTGTACATAAACAGATGTAGAGGATATAAATGTTCTTAAAATTTGACATTTGTAGTGGGCGGCATCTGAGATGGCTCCCGTGATACCCCGTCCTGGTGGTCACATCCTTTTGTATCTCCCTCCCCTTGAGTGTGGCCTGAGCCTCGTGCCTTGATTCCAGCAATAGAATACTAATGGAATAAGACAAACGTGATGTGAGAGGATGTCACTTACAGGATTAGGCTAAAAAGACCATGGCTTCTGTTGTTCAGCCTCTTCCTGGGTTGCAGTGAGCTGCCGTGCAAAAGGCCCAAAGTCAAGGAATTGAGAAAGGCCTCAACAGTCAGTTAGAAATCGAGGTCCTCATTTCATAATTATTAGTACATAATTGATCAAAATAATGTAAACATGATGCAAGTTTTGATAAGTAGCTATTAAACATAGTAACAAACTGTTATTTGAAATTCACTTCTTATGAAAGGAAAGGTTTTTTTTCCTCATGTATCGGTGGCCCAACACTGCTTATTCATAGAATGGGACTGCATTCAGCATTTTAAATATTTTACATGTAAGCCTTGAAAACTTTGTTTACATAAATAATGCTACTAGTTTTCTCATAACCATGTTACTCAATTCTTTGAACCCCTTCTGAGTTACATGCCAAACATCACGTAGCCATCTGCCACCAAATATTTTCAATGGTTTGGCAGCTGACAACTTGACTGGGTCCTCCTTTGGTTTCGGTAATGCAATATTTGGAACCCTCCTGACTTGAAAACAAGATGTCATTAGAATCCCATTAGACACAAGTATTTGGGGGAGATTCTTTGGTTTAGTGCCTAGAAGGTTTTTACACCCCTGGTGTAAAAAGGCCTGTGAGAGGTTTCCTTTTGGAAGTGGGAGAAGGGCAAGTGTGAAGAAGAGCTGAGAAAGGAGAAGATACCACCCGTACCTGACCCCTTGAAGCTGGCACCTTCCCAGGCAGCTAAGTTCTTGGAAGAGGACACAGAGTGTTGAGGTTCTAGAAATCCATTCCCTTCAAGCTAGGGTCAGTCAACCTTTTCTGTAAAGGACCAGATAGTGAGTATTTTAGACTTTGCCATGTGGCCTCTGTCCCAGCTACTTCACTCTGCCCTTGGAGCACAAAACCTGCTGTGGACAATATGTAAACTAAGGAGTGTGGCTGTGTTCCAGCAAAACTTTATTTATGGACACTTACATTTGAATTCCATCTAATTTTTACATGTCCCCAAACATTATTCCTCTTTTGATATTCCTCCTCCCCATTATTTAAAAATGTAAAATCCATCTCAGCTCCTGGGGTGGTAAAAAGGAGGCCAGATTTGGGCCGCAGTCTCTAGTTTGCTAACTCTTGCCCCAAAGCATCCATGGAGGCATGCCCCTTGAGAATGTGTATACATTCTAGTTTGAACTTTGCCATCCTGGTTTTCAACCCTGGCTACATATGAGAATCACACGAGATGCTTTATTTATTTATTTTAAAATTTAAATTCAAGTTAGGTAACGTAGAGTGTATTTTTAATTTCAGGGGTAGAATTTAGTTATTCATCAGTTGCATACAACACCCAGTGCCCTCCTTAATGTCCATCACCCAGTTACCCCATCCCCCCACCCACCTCCCCTCCAGCGACCCTCAGTTTGTTTCCTATGATTAAGAGTCTCTTATGATTTGGCTCCCTCTCTATTTTTTCTTTTTTTTTTAAGATTTTATTTATTTATTTGACAGAGAGAGACACAGCGAGAGAGGGAACACAAGCGGGGGTGGGGGGTGGGGGGAGGAGTGGCAGAGGGAGAGGCAGGCTTCCCGCAGAGCAGGGAGCCCGGTGCGGGGAGCCCGATGCGGGACTCGATTCCAGGACCCTGGGATCATGCCCTGAGCCGAAGGCAGACGCTTAACGACTGAGCCACCCAAGCGCCCCTATTTTTAACTTTTTGAGGAACCTCCATACTGGTTTCCAGAGTGGCTGCACCAGCTTGCATTCCCACCAACAGTGGAGGAGGGTTCCCCTTTCTCCGCATCCTCGCCAACATCTGTCGTTTCCTGACTTGTTCATTTTAGCCATTCTGACTGGTGTGAGGTGGTATCTCATTGTGGTTTTGATTTGTATTTCTCTGATGATGAGTGATATAGAGCATTTTTTCATGTGTCTGCTGGCCATTTGTATGTCTTCTTTGGAGAAATGTCTTGTTCATATCTTCTCCACATTTCTTGACTGGAGTTTTAATTTTTTGGGTGTAGAATTTGATAAGTTCTTTATAGATTTTGGATACTAGCCCTTTATCTGATATGTCATTTGCAAATATCTTCTCCCATTCTGTAGGCTGCCTTTTAGTTTTGTTGATTTTCCTTTGCTGTGCAGAAGTTTTTTTATCTTGATGAAGTCCCAATAGTTCATTTTTGCTTTTGTTTCCCTTGCTACCTGAGGAGCTTTAAAAACTGTCAATGCCCAGCCCCACCCTCCCCATCCTGATTTAGTTGGTCTGGGGTGGAGTCCAGGCATAGCTTTTTTTTTTTTTTTTGAGTTTCCCAGGCAATTCTAATGTTGCAGCCTGACTTGGGTCCCTATTCTGATTGCCATAGGCTCTAACACAGCTCTCAGGGCATATGATGCTGCGCTGTGCTATGGTTACTGCATTTCATCCAGGGGAAAGCATCACCGGCTTAAGATGAAGTGCAATTTGAAAGATTATAAAATGTAGGGGCGCCTGGCTGGCTCAGTCAGAGTAGCGTGTGACTCTTGATCTTGGGGTATAGAGATTATTTAAATAAATAAATATTAAAAAATAAAAGATTATAAAATGTAAAAATGTGGGTGTCTTCAATTGAATAGAATTTTGCCTACAAGACCAATCTGTCCTTACAGCAAGGGTCCTGGCTTCCTCACCACTGTGTTCCTCTCACCCTTGAGTGCATTGCTGGGTGTGATGTGTTAAATAAATACTTGCTGAGTGCACCACTGGGTTGCTTTGTTTGTTTGTTATTTGTTCTCTGGGCTCTTACTTTTTTCTCTTCCCTTCTGTGCCCAGACAGAGCCTCATTCTGAGGAAATAGGAGATGCTCAGTAAGCATTTGTGGATTCATTGATTAAGAAAGGAGTGGTAGACTGATATCAGGAACTGGAGTCAGGCAGGAACTGGAGAACTTGGTCGTGTCTTTGGCTATGGAAAAAAAGAAGAGACCACTGCCTCCCCCCGCCACCCCCCGCCCCGGACTGGCTGAAAGAGAACTTTTTATTACTTTTATGTACAGAAAATTCAACAGTATCCACTCAGCCTAGTTTGGTGGCCAGTTCTTTAGCCTTTGCCTTTTCCAGCTTAGCGATGCAAGCCACCAACTTCAGACCTAGGACAATTGCTTCCCCAGTGACGTCAGATCTCATCATATCTGACATTGTAATTATGGTCCTGATGGCTTCCACCAGCTTAGCCAGAGCTCCTTTGTCTTCCGAGTTCACCTGTGTGAAGGTGACAGTGGTGCAGGTCTTCCTGTGGACCAGACGCCCCAGCCTGGCCTTCCCCTTGATAATGCAGTAGGGAGCCCCATCTTACGTATGACACAGGGCAGACAGGAAGACAACCAGCTCAGTGGGGTCCACAGCATGTGCAATCACTGCCATCTGAGCCTTCTTGTTTTCCAATAAGGTGGTGACAGTGTTAACCCCAGCTTGAAAGATAGGTGGCCTCTTAGGGGGACATCCTCTTTGCCAGCAGCTTTCTTCTCAGCCCAGGCCAACGATCTCTGCCTCTTCTCTTGCTCTGTCTCTTGTCTGTGTTTGGGCCAGCTTAAGCCATTGAGTAGCTGTGTGGCAGTCCAAGGCCTGGGTGAGCTGGTTAATCCCGGGAGGCACTTTTAGACATTT